AGCATAGCTGTATCTTTATAAGAATCGACAAATTTATGGCGCTCAAAGTGAGATAGTTGAGAATTTTACTTTCGCTTCCTTGCGGGCATGCTTTATAAATCAGCTGTAAATCAGTGATACGTACAGTCTTATAGGGATCACGAGATAGAAAAACACGGCATAGAATGTTTTTTACCTTTACGATTGTTGCAAGTGTTCAGCTTTTCTATTATTCTCGTGGCTATATTATCACAAGTTTGGACAAAAGGTTAAATTTAAAATTTCGAATGAAAAATAATACAAATTCTACACTGTTGAAACAGAAGGTACCTAATCCATACATAAATACAATGCAAAATCATTTGTATGACATTAACACTAGCTTTAATTTATTTATTAAAGATTTCCGAGTAGAATCTCTTTTTTGGACACGAAAGAATTTATTAATACTATAGCCAATAGTTAACATCTTCGCTATCATAGTTCACTCAAAATTATACACAATATAAAATTGAATATATTTCAGGATATCCCTATCAATGCTATCAAAAATGCAATTTTACAACGTTGGGCTTCATAAGTAAGATTGTAAGAAAGACACGCGTCACTAGCATTACAAATGCAGCTTAAAGAATTTACGTAAACAGTATTTGCTATGCCATACTGTCTAGATACTAAATAAGCTGAAATATATATTATTTTAAATTACCAGAAATCTTATTTACGACTGCGAATGTAATAGGATATATGCTACAATGCTTATTGGAAGTTAAGTAAAGTTCACCAAGTTTATTTTAAAAAATCTTATTAGTAATTTTACTACCTTTTGTAGTAAAAGGACTAAAAGTAGAGTTCTTTGTAGTTTTTAGTATGTAATTAGTATTATTTTACTATACAAAATACCTAGAAAGTGATAGTTTCTTTAAGTTTTACCCTGCCAAATCATCATGTCGCCATCTTTTCTTCTTCATTATTTTACAAGGTATTCTATAGATTACTATAGAAGTAGCCCTATAGAGCAAATGCCTAATCTAAAGAAAGGGCGTTTCATCGTCTATTCAATTGTAAACAAAACCCTATCCTTAGAGAAAGGGGATTTATAACATGACGATAAAGTACTGTAATGTAGTCTATACTCGTACAGTTACAGTACAATCTGACGCTAAAACATCAACTGTCAATACTCGCGAATACTAAGCGATACTAATGGCGAATGTCAGAAAAGTAGTCGTAGTAGTCATATAAATTTTTTTGATAAGCGATTACTGTGATCTTCATAAAAAGCGAATTTTTCCGGATTTGTGTCCGATATAATTTTCCTGTTTTGGAACCGGTCGGGTTTATTTTTAATTTATGTCTGAATTATAATTTTTCTGTTTTAATTTTTGGATTTTTGTTCATGAAAAATATCGTAAGAGTTGATTTTTGAGATTTGGACTTTTTGTTATCAATTTGAAACTTTGGAATTTTATGACGTGACTTGAAGTCACATTAGGAGATTTAGTGAGAAAAATAGAAAATAAGATGGAAATTGGCAGAGGTTGTGTTGATTGTTAGGTAGTTAGAATGTTGTTTTTATGACTAAATCTTGATGATTAAAGGTTGATTTTTAGCTTTTTGTAGTGTATTAATGATAGAAATTATGTTAGAAATGAAGTTTGATGTATTTTTATAGTTAGCTTGTTACTTTTATAGTGTTTTGTAAGGGAATCGTAGGGTAAATTGTGTCTGAACTTTGAATGATTTTTGTTTTCTTAAATGGTGCAAAGTAGTTTTGTAAAACGGATCTTAAGAGCGATTGGTTAGCAAATATTTAGTTTTAAATACCTTTGACGGCTCTACGAAGCCTATAAATGATAGTGCAATTAGAAAATTTAGAGGGAGAGTAGAAGAAGATTTTATTTGAAGAGCTTGTTGAATTTAAAAGGCCTTCGGGGTCGAATTGTCGTAAGTTAAAACGTTCTTCTTTTTGAAAGGTTGTTTGGTCGTTGACAGTTTTTAAGTCTGTCATTTATTTTAATAATACTTAAAGCTAAGTATTTGTAAGGTTGTTCGGTTTATACTTCTCTCCATTTTTGTTTTGAAATAAATTGTTGTTCGGTTATTTCCCCAAATTTTATTTGGTGTCAAAGTATTAGCGTTAAGTCGACCGGAGTGCAACGAAAGTAGAATGAAAGTTTGTTTAAGTTTCGTAGCTTGATCTCTACACATTGCATTTCATTACATTTTAATCACACAGTCACTTAGAAAATTTGTTTTAAAGAATATTACAAGTTCACAACAATAAGTAGAAGTCATTAAACTGCCCCTTGTCCTTCGAATGTATCAGTTTCTTCATACCTGATGATAGAGCAATAGTTAAATTTAATCTAAAACTAGTGAACTAAGACTAAATCAATTACTAACGTAACAATAAAGGATTTAAATTCTAAAAAGAATTCTCCAGATTCACAAAGAGTACTAGTCCTCCACTGTTCCCTCTTAGGCTACGAGTAATTCATATTCATTCATAGCATAACGTTCCCAAAAGGTCATATCTGAAAATTTATCGTCAATGTCGTAATTATTAGGAGTTACAAGCAATTACATTACAATTGCAAAGACACTGTAACTATAACAACATTATGATCTGTTACTGTACTTTATCTGCTAATGGAACACGTTGCTCATATTCAATAAATTTGCTGAAATTTAAAAAGGCGTTGAAGAAAACGTGACCCAGGACGCAAGCCCTGATATCTTGGACAGTGATAATATTTTCTATTTTGGGCTTCACTAAGTCTATCATCTGCATCAAATTAATATGAATATATAAATAAACTTTATTGCTATAGCGTAAACTATCTAATAATTATACTGTATAATTGGCAATTGCAACTGTCCAAAACCAAGGCAGGAACAACTGAGAACCCCTGACTAAGGTTATGCTGTATGCGGCAACTGCATAATCATTGGTCAACCTGACATAGCAAATCTTCAAATTTAACGGCCTCCACATCAAGAGATTCCATTCTGCAGTACTGCTCGCTGTAAGAATATTCCAATTCATATGTAGACAAATATTTGTCACCATCAAGATCCATACATCGGAACCAATACTCAATGCTAGTTTACAAGACGAAATATAGCATAATGATATTACATACAAATATCATCTTCAGAGTAAGTTCTGTAGTAGATCTGGTTAATTCCAATAGGAAATCTACCTCTTTGGATGTTTCTTATCCCCCTTCGATAATAAAAACCAAACAAATTCTTCAAAAGTCAGTGTTTCGGATTTCATTGTTGTGACGGCACCAGAGAATATTTTATCTATAATCTTTCTTGAAAGAGCTATGGTAAAATGATAATTAACAAAAATGTCACACAATAAATGTTCTTAAGAGGATCAAACCACCCTAAATTTGATAATAACTTTGATTGTTATACCTATACAGATCTTCCTTAGTAATTAGCATGTCATGACTATCATCAAGTTCCCAAAATTTGCAATAAATTACGTAAATATGTTCGTAGGGGAAATAATCGGTAATCTACAGATTATACAAGCAGAAAGTCAAAGATTACAAAATAGTGTGTATAGTTGCGTACAGATCATTCTGAAATCGTAATTATTCAGTATTAAATTCTTTGGTTGTTACTTAGTTGATGTCAGTTTCATCTTCGAGTAATCTCAATACCTGAGTATTATTCGATAATATATCGATAAATTTTACGTATATATTATAGAGGAATCTAGTACAGTGATATGAAGGTGAACAATTAGTTTTACAGTTGGAGAGATTTACGCTTTATTAAAAAATTGCTCTTTTACTAATTCTGGCAGTGTTATTCGATGCGATAATGTAACCCCATAAAGCAACTGGAGCAGTAACTAGTCCGAAAGGCATGCCATTAAAATCATGTAGACACTTGGCGTACTAATTGTTGTATGATTTTACTATCTTGTTATAAGGGCATTTGTCGATATCCTTTTGCCAGATCCACCATAGCTACATATTCTTGTCTTATCCAGGTTACCAAAGTTTCGTCAATTCGAGGTAGGGATATGTATCCATCTCAGATTTAACATTAATTATGCGTAAATCAATGCAAGATCAATAGAAACCATTTAGTTTATTAACGAGTATTACTGAGGATGGTGACTATGAGCTCTTCTTATAATTCTGATTCTCCATCTTCCTAATCGCCTCTTGCAAAAATTTACTTTTGCAAAGGAAATTGAATACTACCCTGTTTAATTTGTGTCTGCTGATTTATTCTTATTTCATGCTTTACTGGGTCAGCTATTTCTAGCTACGTTGTAAGTTCATCTGAGAATCGCCTTATAGTTTGATATATTCACCTATTTCGTTTCTTTGCAAGTTTACTAGGTCCTGATCTTAATTTATGTAAATAATATACTTCATTCGGTTCATTTTTTTGGCTGTTACACGTAAATTTCTACGATCTTCAATACCTTTATGCTGCTCCACTGAATTTGTACATACTATACGAGTGGACTTTAACGTTATATATTTCGTTTTGATTCTATATAAGGTCCATAAAAATTTTCCGAATAATTCATGACATTCTTCATACTATAAATTCAATTTCTATTTTCTTATTGAAGAAAAGAATAATACTATATTTTCCACTTTCAGCTACCTCTGCTGCGTCTTGCGATCAAAATATTCTTTATATTTCTTAGCTTGGCCTCCGGGAGTGCACACAGCTTTTTTCAATTATTCTACATAATCTCATCTTTTACCTGCTAATTCAGATGCTTCAATTCCAGCGGGATTCTCTTTATCATCACTCTACTGTTCCTTGAGAATATTTAAAGGCCCTCGTATCTTCCATTTATGTAATAAATCAAATGAAGTAAGGCCTATAGTTTTATGTAAAAATTCTCTAAAAGCAAATAATAAACACGGGAGCTGCTAATCCTGCTGCTTGAGTTTCTCAAGACAAATTTCTGAATGTTTACTTTAAAATTCTATTGAAACGTTCAGTAAGTCCATTATCTTTTGGGTGCTGTGAAGATAAACAAAATATTCTAGTGTTTAATATTTTGCAGAGTTCTTTAATGGCTTTGTTTTCAAATTCTGTTCCTTAATCTGATGATATTTCTTTAGATGTCATCGTCCTTTATAAAAATTAAATTTTAATTACTTAGCTACATGTTCAGCACCAGCTTTAGAAATAGCCACCACTTTTGGGTATCTTGAAACATAATCCATCACAGTCAAGATATATTCCTTTCCATATTTGGCCCTCTGAATTTTTATCTTTAGCATCCTCAAATAACGTTTTAAATTTTTCTTCATTTTTTATCATTTTGCCGATGTTCATTCAAGACCACATAGTGCTGTAGTTAACCTTAATCATCGCTATAGCATCTGCTGTTGATTAATCACTCGTCACAATACCATTTTAGACATACTGACGATTTACTGTCTGTAACATTTTATTATTAGAGATATTAGATTCTCAAATCTAATTCGGTAAATGTAATATTTAGTTTATGCAAAGTTAAAGAGCGTTGTAATGATTAATTTTAAATAATTATTCCAACAGTACGTAGTATATCAAATGTCTACAGTTCTACATTCTCAACCTGTTTTACAAGCTATGAGCTCTAAGTATTTTAATTTACTGTTAATAACACAATTTTTGAGCTCAAATTTTACTTACATTCGAATAATACGCAAAATTAAGTTTCTATATGCTTGTTGTTATTATAAGAAGCTGTTACAAGGAATACTGTGTATTAACGTAATTCAGTTACGTGATACAGCATACTTATTATTATTGCAATATTTATGGCATGCTTGAGTTATCAGCTGTTCTCTATATGCTGTACGTTATTGGTAAGACTTCAAGTTCTTTTAAATTGATATCCACCAGTATTTATTGATATTATTCTATAGTCGTACAGTTGCCTAGCTACCTTGTTATTTGCTGCATTTAAAAGATACTTATAACAGCACTGCATAATAGTATAGATTAGATGAAAGTGAGTGTTCGGTTAAAATTTTAACTCACTATATACAGAATGATATATATTCAATTTGTAAATTAACTAGAAAATCTGCAAACTGATTAGTCTCTCTTTACTGTGCTCCAATTTCGTTCACCTAAAAAGTCAATTGTGAATACTGTAATAATTAAAGAACTGTTTTGCCTATTACATCCTACAATACATGGCTTTCCAGAACATGAGTTTAGAAAATGAATAACATTTTGTTTATGTGAGGACGTGATGCTATTTGAGGTTTACACTGNTTAGAATCGCTGGCTTTATATAAAAGCTCATTATTGGAGATAGTAACAAAAGAAATATGACATATCTGAAAATGAAATGTAAGCTATTTCAGAATGAGAATCATTAAATAAATATAAAAAATTTTAATATGCCATTGAAAACATTAATTCTTCACGATAGAACATAAACTACACATGACTTTAAATACAAGATAGATCTTGTAAAAGAAGCCTTAAAGTAATATATATGAAGCTAGCAATAACCATATGCGATAGCAACAGATAAAGTTACTTTACATAAATCAGAAAACCTTAAAAAGGTTAAATAAAACTATCCACTAAAGCATCTCATTAATATTTTGTATGCATTCCTTTATGTGAAATTACTTGTTGAGGTTTTATTGGCAGACTGCTTACTAATGTGTTACAGTACTCTATGCTAAGTTAATTCCAAACACTTTGTTTTATCGCCTTTAACCGAATTCAAGATTTAGGCCTTCTCATGGCCACTCTGCATTTCAGCATTTTCCATTAATTTTCAATCGGGTTAAGGTCAGGCGAGTTGCCTGTCTAGGGCATACCTTAACCCTTTTGTCCGAAATCCATTGGGACACCAAGCTCGCCTTGTGGACTAGCGCACCGTCGTACATGAAAGTGCCACAGTCTAGCTATCCCATTTCCTCGAGGAAAACTATATCCAAAAGGTCTTTATAATTCCTTTTCTTTATATTTATTCCCTTAGGGAGAAAGAACAAACATCCCACTCCTGCGGCATAGAAGAACCCCCATACCATAAAGGATGGAGAATGGCGCACCGATTTTCTGGTATAATAAGGATAATAGCGGAGGTACCGCGGGCGCCTTACATACTGGCCTAAAAAATAAATTTTAAAATAATATTCAAGCTAGATTCTCCAGAAGGCTGATTCATAACATTAAAGGTAAGGTTTAAAGTTAATATTTCTCCACTGTTTACCATAATTCTAGTATTTGCCTATAAATCTAAATTGTAGGAATCAACTTTCATCGCTAATTAATACTTTTTTCCAATATTCTTCTTCAAGATCTTTACAAGCCTCACACCATCGGACCCTTTTATAAATTGCGGCTTCCGTTAGCAATGGCTTGACCTCTTGATGCCTCGCTTTAAGTTTTTTTCCAATTAATTGACGCCTGACCATAGAAGCATCGCTTCTACGAGAAATCATCTCTGCTACCATGCCGGCTACTTCCTTACTGTTTATAAATGGGTCTGTTTTGACGGCGTTGATTATTATTCTGTCGTCTCTTGCTGTAGTCTTCCTTATTCCATCACAGTTTCCTCTTTTTGTGATATTCCAGGTCCCATTCTCACGGTACGATACCATAACTCATTTTACTGATGGCACAGAAATCTTATGTTTGTCGGCAATTCTATGTTATGTCCAGTTTGCTTTAGAGAAGGCCATAATTTGTGCTTTGCATTCAGATCTTTCTTTTTCCAAATTGTAAAATATAAAGGTAACAATTTTCGAAAATGCAATAATACGGATGAAAAGTTTACTGTTTACAACAAATATAAACGAACTAAAAAATTCTTTGTTGTAAAGCTTTTTTAAATCAACTTAATCTGTAATTTTATCGCAAGCTGTTCATTTGTAGACGCATCTAACTGTCTTCATATTTTCATGTAAACAATAGATTTTATTATCAATTTTCGAAAATGAAATCTTACGGATGAAAAGTTTACTGTTTACAACAAATATAAAGGAACTAAAAAATTCTTTGTTGTAAGGCTTTTTAAAATCAACTTAATCTGAAATTTTATCGCACGCTATTCATTTGAAGACCGGTCTAACTGTCTTCATATTCTCATGTAAACAATAGATCTTATTATCAGTAACTTATTTCTGCCAGATTCCAGTAAATCGGGTCCTGCGATTTTAAATCAAAATCATGTCATCTTATGATAAAGTTAAAAATGCGAATCCTTTAATCTTATGTTCTCTCTAGCATTATCTGATTGATCGCTACAAATCAGAATCAAAAATTGCATAAAAATCACAAATTTAAACATTTAAATTTGATTTGAAGTTCATGCCAACGGAATTCCATTACCTTTACGTTAAACTGTTAAGCTAAGTGAAAAAATTATTATTAAGGAAACGTGACTTCCAAGATAATTCATTTGCTAAGACTGTAATTTTTGAATACAGAAATATTACTGAAATTATGTTTCTATGCTTATGTGGTACATAGCAGTTGAAAACTTCTGATTACTATTTACAATAACAGTTCTTCTCATAAGCGCAGTTGATGCACGGCTAAACAGGGTAATGTAATGAGTGCCAAATATGCTGCCGTTAATTTGACTACTCAATAAATTTTCTTGGAAGTGATATTTATTTTAAACTAATTTTAAGTAACTCAGATTTCCTGATCAATTTCAGAGTCACGGAATTCCGTTTAGCTTTTGCAAATCGATAATGCCAAACGAAGTGCTTGTATGCGAAATATTGATAACTGTAGAGGAAAGTCTTGGAATTAATCAGGTTGAAAAATGTTGGATATTACCAAAGCACCATCGGAAAAATGAAAAAAAGAAGAAAAATTTAAGACATTATTAAAGGATGCTAAAAATAAAAATTCAGAGGACCAGATATGGGAAGGAGAATATCTTGACTGTGATGGATTGTGTTACAAGATACCCAGAAGTGGTGGCTATTTCTAAAGCTGAGCTTTATTACGCGTGGTATTATTATGTGTATCGTTAATTTGTAGTAAATTAGATGTAAGAAAGTTTATAAAGAATTAATTTATCTTTTAATAATGTTTCTATTATCTTTATTTTAAAATAACAATTTTTATAGATATAGTGTACAGTAATCTTGCGATTGACTTATTGTGGATAGCTCTATCGTAAATTTTAACTCTTAAGGATACCAAATTGATATTAGTCAAATGAAATTTCCTGATTTTTAATATTCTATTTGGATCAATTTTACTAATTTTCCACCTATAAATTGGAACAATGTATTATATACGTGATAATCGTTACGATAAAATGTTTTATTAGCAACAGAAATTTGTCTATTATATAATTTATAAAAAGTTATATAATACACCTTTACTATACGTTGTTTGTTTGTATACAATTATAGTTCCTGTACGATAAGTTTTATTGAGGATATTTCGGTTACTACGATAGAAATTACAATTTATATTTGCATATTGCTTCTTATAGAAATATTTCTATGATACTATATACCAAAAAATTTAAATGTATTTGTGAACAAATTCAATAATTCATGCTAAAATATTATGATAATTACAAATATATAGCATATAGCCATTGATATATAAATATGATGTTTGTTTAGGTTATGAATATCAATGCAATTAAATATACCTACAGTATAATATCACAAGATATTAACATAAGGGATTGCTAAATATTCGTATCAAATTCGAGTAAGCTTTAACAAAGTACTAGCGAAGAAATACTTGGTTTCGTCTGGCTATTTTACTGATGATCGGTATAGCCAGATAATTAGCAAAGGTTGAAACTCTTAAATTCAGGAATAAAAGAGGAAAAGATCGACTACAAATTACTGGCAAGTATGACTTGAGAACTCTACCAGGTGAGTTTTGTCTAATAAAGAGAGCTACTAGCCTTACATATCTTCGCAACAACGAATTACATGATGCCTTGGTGAAAGCCCATAATGAAATATCACACGATAGAAATGTAATGCAAACTGATTTATGAAAATTATTTCTTAATGTTACTAGGGAAATGATATCTATTTTCCTGTGGCTTTGCTTGAAATGCTAAAAAGGCAATTTCAAGACGCAATATAGCAATTAGATCGACAATTACAGACAATTTTAGCGACCGATATTAGATATCATTTTATTAGCCATATGAAGTACCTGCAATTTATTTTGTAATCATATACGATTTTTACGATAGATTTTACTTTATATCATATTATTTATAGGTTGAATTAATTGATTTTCAGTCTAATCCTGACGGAAACTATCGTTTCACATTGGTGCATCAGAATCACTTTACGAAATTATTTTTAATACTAAACCTTATAATATACTGTACATTCTGCTGTATACTAAACCTTATAAATTATTTTGCGTACTAAACCTTATAAATGACTTTGCATACTAAACCTTATAGATATCTGCCATACCAAGCCTTATAAAATATTTTCTTTAATAAAAAATAAAATTTATACAGATTAATCTCTCTAATTTTCTATACAGTACTAAACCTTGTAAATACATCTTATACTAAACCATATAAATTAATTATTTTCTATACTAAGCCTTACAATTTATTCTTCACGCTAAACCTTACCCATTATTTTTCATACTAAACCTTATAAAATACATTTTATACTAAATCTTATATTATTCTCCATACTAAACCTTATAGATTATTTTCCATACTAAAGACTATAAATTATTTTCGATACGAAACCTCGAGGATATATTATTCTTCATACTAAACCTTATAAATTATTTTCCATACTAAACCTTATAAAACTTTTCTATATTAAATTAAACCTCGTATATTATTTTCTATACTAAACCTTATAAAATACATTCGGCACCAACATTTTAAATAAATTATTTTCCCTACTAATATAAACCAAACCTTTTAAAATATTTTCTATACTAAACCTTATAATATACATTCTGTACTTAGCCTTATAAATCATTTTCCATACTAAATCTTATAAATTATTTTCCATTTGAAACCTCTAACCATATATTATTTTCCATACTAAACCTTATAGAATACATTCTATACTAAACACTATCAATTATTTTCTATACTAAACCTTATCAATTATTTTCAATACTAAACCTTATCAATTATTTTCCATACTAAGCCATATAACATTATTTTCTATACTAAACGTTATATATCTTTTTTGCTATACCGTACTGTACAGTGTACAGTACAGTACACCGTACTAAACCTTATAAATTATATATTCTGCACTAAGCCTTGTAAACTATTTTCCATACTAAACCTTATAAATTATTTTCTATACTAAACCTTATAAATTACCTCCTATACTAAATCTTATAAATTATTTTTCATACTAAACATTACAAACATTATTATTAATTTCAACTATTAAAACACAAGTAATTAAAACTTCTTTTATAATAATCACATCTATAAGCTATAATCTAACAGGTTTCATTGCATTTTACAGAAACCCTTGTTTCTACTACTACTGCGACCGATGTGTTACCGACACACTACCGACGTTTGCAAGATATAAATTCAGCAGCGATTATAGGGTGGTACGGCGGTATATATTCTATACTAAGCATTATAAACTATTTTCCATACTAAACCTTATAAATACTTTCCATAATAAACCTTAAACATTATAAATTACTGCCCATACTATTTCCCTAAATCTTATAATCTATTTTCTATACTAAATCTAATAATTTGTTTTTCGTACTAAACCTTATAAAGTACGGCGCTGTAAAGTATTTCTATACTAAACCTAATAGAAAACATTCTATAGTAAACCTTATAAATTATTTTCCATACGAAACCTTATAAATTGTTTCCATACTAAACCTTATAAATTATCTTCTGTACTAAACCTTACAAAGGTTACTTTTATTTTCTACAATGAAAACACAACCAATAACAATTTTTTAATACTAATTACATCTATAAGCCATAATCTAATAGGTTCAATTAGATTTTTTCCAAACCCTTCTTTCTACTACTACAACAACCGATGGGCGATCGTAGCGTCTCAAGTAACGTTAATTTTTGTGTGCCGTTAGTCCAAAGGCCCTCGAACCTTCCATCCATCCAGCATATCGAATAAAGGCCACATCAGTTGTTTTATGGGGAATTTCTCTTACCGGAAAAGGTAAGTACTGCAGATAGACATAGCAATTGTCTAGGTCTTTCGTTTACAAACTTCTTAAACACCTCCTTCAGTGTCGTATTAAATCTCTCAAGAAATCAATTCCCCTAGAGAAGAGGTTCTTGATAATGTCGCTTTGACCAGGGCTTACAATAATAATATTACAAGCTATGACTATGATGCCAGTATCTAGGTACTGCACAGTACAGTACTGTATATATGATAAACGAATTTTTATGGAACGCCAAACGTTGTGAAGATTTATTCTGTTCTTGCAGATTCGCATTACACATCGGCAATATCACTACACCAGTCTATCAGATGTTCTCTTACTTTATATAATGAATTTTACAATAGGGTTAAGATTATTAATAGCCTGTTACCTAGTATCAAGGATCTTTGCTCACCATAATTCTGTCTGCCATGTTAATTTTTAAGTATTTATTAACTTAATAAATAACAGTGAGATTCGATCATAGACGTCGTGTACATTAATGATTATTTTATATTCATAGGATATAGTAAAATGGTTACAAGAAAGAGTCGGCCTGCACACTTTCGGCAGCTTACGACCATGTGCAGCCCCTCTTTTCTGAGTACTTGAAGTAGTTACCCAGTATATTGCAAAATAGTAACAAAAATGCTTGAACAAATACCGTAGTGTATAATAGCAACATTAACTTCGTTTCAGCACGTATACGTACATCGTGGGATCACAGCGTAACTTAATCTTGCGTGCATTTACTACTAACTTACTAAAACACCGCACAACATAACTTAAATGAGCATGAAACATATTCCGCATTTTAAGTCAAAAAAACACTACAATGTAAGGATTGACACAAATTCATGCATTGCACGTGCATATGCTAGGCATAAGACTATTCGCGTTAACAATCTTAAGATATTACTGTGCTGTGTTACTATGCGTTTATACGTTTCACAGCTTCCTTGAATTTGTTGCAATTGGTGAAGCTGAATTCGAAGAATCTATGCAATGCATTAAAGGCTATACACAACGTATCTTCGATGAGCATGAAACGTAATTTGTAGTTAAACAAACATGATTACATTCCTGTACGTACATACCGCATAACGTGCTCGAATTCGGGAAAGTTATGAAGCGCATCAAATGCTATATAGTAATGTACTATAAATGTGCTAGTTTATACACCTTCTACCATCTTGCACCTGTAATGTTTCTCCAGCGTGGTCGACTCGGTGGCGTACTGTACATCTTTTACTGTATACGCGTATAACGTTTATTATGAGATATAATTATAAGGCTTGATATATCGTAAGCGATTAAACCATTATAATGTAGACTCTAGATATTTATAAAATTCAGTGTGGAATAATGTTGAGTCAGTGACGCCATCATTTCTCTCAGATTAATAAGATTGAGGTTTATTATAAAAGAATAAAGCCGCTTTATATATTTATCCTTTTCTGTACCGATGACGGCTATAATTTATTCCTTTAGGATTATTTGTTAATTTGTGATGGTACACATTTCTCTGACTACTTAAGCAATATCTAATAGTTTTAGAACCATGTCACTAATGTACAGTCGCTAACATAACATAAATCTAAAGTGCGCAAGCGAGCGATGATAACATTTCAATCAACTTTGCATTAAAGGATGAGCAAAACTAACCTGTCAATAAAATTTAATTGTAAAAGATTCGCGCAAATGCATTTATATTCTTAAACTTCTGTACTAAATCGAATTAATCCCGAACAATGTCACACTATTAAGTTGCAAAATCAACGATAAAATCTTCATTGCTTTTCATATGATTACATAGATACTTCATCATTTATCGATGCTCTCCAATTACAAAATCATCTAATAAATCTGGTTTAACGATGATCGCTTTTGTTCCGATACAGTAACGAAAGTTCGACATGAAATAGTAACGGTCATAAAAGTAAACTATCAAGTATAAAGCTGCGATATGACCATCGGTAATTAAGATTTTACAGTATTCACCAAATTTCTGTAAGTGAATTATTTCTTCAGGACTTGAAAATGGTTTCAGTTCACAGTTTTGCAAATTAAGATTGGTAAAGCAATTCGTACAATCTTTCTTATAATGTATAGAGAATAAGTCAAGTGTAAAGCCCGTAATCTTATAAAATGATTTTACCAAATAAGATGGGCGATCAATAGCGTCTAATAGTCCGAAACCAATAGGTTCTATAACTAATTCATACGGTACATCTCTTGAAGAAAACACACGCAAAAGCTGAAGCGATCCGAATCGGTAAAAGTGATAAGTTCTATTGGACTCATCCATCATAATTTGCAAAACCTGATCAACTAAACAACGGTAATGCTGATAAATATATGAATCTTTCTCATTCAAATTTAAATGTTGATCAGAAAACTTGTTAGGATCCATTTCTTCCTCTTTTAAATGCATCATTTTCTCGTCTACTTTATAATTCTTCATCTCGTTAACTAGCTTATGTAGCCCTTGCCAATAATATTCGTCTTTCTCTCTTTGGCGTAACACACTGTTAGTAACTTTAAGGTGTAAATCCAACCAGAAACGTTCATCTTTTCCATCAATGCGACAAAAATCGTGTCCTAGACATAACTTCACAGCAGCACGCAACTGGTGCACTAAAGACTCCATCGGACAATTTACCTATCTTTGTAGCTCGTTTTATTTAACTTAGTTATATATAACGCACATACGACGTTACTTATTTCTTCGTTATTTATGACGTTGATCCTAGTTGCTTTGAAAAAAATATGTACTTATTTGAACTTGTTTGTTTTGAAATTTTCTAGATTCCATGCTTCTGATAACAATCTTTATGGAAAACGTTAATATTAGCTACTCCTGCAGCGATAAATAAGTAGTCACATCCACGAGTTTCTTATTTCGTATCCTTCGGCATGGCATGCTACACTTCACCATTCAGGCTGTTCTTGACTCTCTAATTGAGCAAATTAAGTGTCCTTGGAAATGAAATTATAATTGTAAACATAAATTTCCAATAAATATGGAGCATAATATCAATTTACAGTCGTGAGAGGTAGTTCTTGTAAACTGAAAACGTTGAATGTAAGGTTGTTCTAAAACTGGGGATAGAACTTGACGTAATTGGACACTACGCAATTCGTTTGGCGTTGTGAATTGTCTTAAGTTTGGAAATTGCTTCCTATTGGCTATAATACTGTATTGTGATATACTGGTACTTTTTCTTAATCAATACAGTATCCAGTATAGTCTTGTAAATGGCATTTCCTACAGAATAATGTGTTATCCTTAATATGCATTTTACCTTTAATTGAAAGATTATCGTGGGATATCGAAAAACAATATTATTTTTTTACTTTATAGTTAGATATCCCTGAAAAAAACATTTGAAATGCCTCACCATAGCGTAATCGAACGTAAACTAACATACATGATATTTATATTACTATTACTAACTTGCTATCGTTCACAATTACTTATTGGCGTATATTATATGTCCTATTGCTTTAGGAGTACTAAATGAAGCGTAGAAATATAGCAATGATAATAGCACAGTGCATCGAGTGTAAAGATAAAGACATTTTTACTATCATTTTAATTTAACTGAATTTGCATAACAATTATATATATTGTAATGAAACAGCTACTTCATTTCAACAAGCGTTCGTCGAATTATAGTATATAGCTATCTACGAATGCCTATATACCACTACAGCATATTTAAATACTGATGATTCTGTAACTGAATAATCTATGAGTAAATAAAAGTATTTCAGTTATGAGTTATAGGGTTGCTGCGCCTTATTTTGCCAAATTTAAGACTGAAGATGAGGTATAGTACTGTAATATTCTGCAAATTTTAAAAATGCATCAATTTTAGTTACTGCATCAAGCGAAATGTGAATTCCAAGCTCTCATTAACTAGCCAAATCACGTACTTGCATTGCTAACATAATTGCATAAATATGTCTACTTTTCTGCTACATCAACCAGAGATTGAATAATAAAATATTGCATTTCTGGTCTCGAAAATGACCGTAGATGAGTAACGTGAAGAAGTCTCACTGAATGTCGGCCTTGTCTTCAGTGTATAGCAGTGGCACAGTAGGTAAATGTGAACTAACTGGAGCCCGATGCACTGTGCGGTTGATGTACAACTTTATTTCATTAAACTATGCATGATAGCTAATGTTTAATGGGGTGCAAACTCAGCAATTTACGTGCAAGTTATAGTAAATTAAAGGAAATAAACCCAAGTCTAACTTCGGAGTTATGATATGCTTACACATAAATTTTGATCACTTTAGAGAAATTTTAAAGACTTCCTTTTTTAACTGCAGAAAATAATAGCAGTGTATCATAAAAAGTGAACATAACAGCATGTTATCAGTATCAAGCAAATACGCTTAGCAATCGAGGTACGGTATCGTACCGTAAAGACAAGAAAATCCTTAGTTGGGTTTCTTGAATGTTTAAAAGTTAATCTTAATGAATAACATGTTGATAAATATATTTAAAATAATAAGCCCAAATAAGCAGATGTTTCCATCTACAATTAACTCAATGCCGTAAGTTACAAACATAGCCAATTATAATTACCGTACATTTAACATTTTGCCATACAAAACGAATTTGCGATGTTGGGTCATTCACGTCATGGATTATTTGGAGAAAGAGTTGCGAAATGCTGTTGAATTGTTTCTTGGCGATAAATCTAGTCATTTACATGGAAAAGATGAATGCTTTTGGTTAGATTTACATCTTAAAATTGTAAGCAATATGATACGTTCACAAACGAAACTTGAATGCTACTATGGAATCTTGGATAAAATTGTTAAAAATATGAAGAATATAAAAGATGAAGCTGATCCGTTGTATCTGAAATTACGTAAACAATTTAGTAAGATTATGGAAGCCTTGATCGAAAATGAAAATGGCCCATCAGAGCTCTATTATGTATTTGGAACACTTCAATTTGGTAATTATGAAGATACTTCAGGAAACCCAACTTATCCAGCAATATATAAAACTTTTGCAATCGGACCTAATAATGGCGATGACTGCCGAAAGAATTTTGCAGATTTTGTTTATGACATTAACAGTCAAAGTCTTCTATCATTTTTTGTTATGCATTTTGATAAAAGTTTTACCGATAAATGCGGAGATCTCAATTTAGAAAATTGTAGACTAGAACGGCTATCAGATCCAACAGAAATTCTTAGCCTTCACGTTAGAAGAGACTCTAAATACTACAGAATTCTGATCGTTGATAAACAACAGTTGATATTATACTTAGTGGTTCGCTTTTATAGTCGCTTCTATTTTTTGTCCAATTTTTATATGTGTAACAAAACCAAAAAAATTATAATTAAGCCCGATTTACTGGATGATTTTGTAGATTATTAGGGCTGAATAAGGTAATGCTAAAACTATAAGGTAAAGTGTTCCAGTGTCCACTTAGCTATTTAATCGTTTGGTAGTATTTGTTAGTTTTGCTTTCGTGGTTTTACATTATGCAGGTTTAATTTATTTCGAAAATAAATCTAGAAATTTAAATTTCTCGGAAAGTGTTTCATGGATAAGAGTAAAGGAATGCCACATTTAATTACTATGAAAATAAGTATTTTAATAAAATGGTATTCTAAGATATTTCCTTAATAAATAACAAATATTCAACAATTTTCTTTCTAATTCACTAAGTCGTTGCTAATATTTCGTCTTGTTACAATATCGCATATGATTGGCATGATATAAAAATCTGTAACTTATTTAGTCTTTTATATGGGTAAAAAGATTTACGCATGATGTTGAACAGATTATAATTATTTGTCCGTAAGGACAAACCAGTAAGGGATGTGGAGGACTTTATGTAAATTATTAGAAAACCATTTTTTGTCATTAAACTGAAATGATAACTGTAATAGGTGATACTTTGAATAGGTCTTGAAGTCTAGATATGAAATGCTATAGTAGGCAGGTATTATAATGTTCGTAAGATAATGTCGTTACATCCCATTTTATTTTCTTTGTTGATGTTAGAATTAAGCACCTTCTTAGCTCGCTAGCATTAATAAAGTTTTCAACATTGCAAGATTATTTAGGTGCAGTAAAGCAGGCTGGACTAATAAATCTTTTGCCATATTACAAATTGTGGTGTATCACTAAGGTAATTTTATTGCACTGCAAGACAAAATTACTTTGTAACCCTTCATTTTTCATATTTCTATGCGTGCGATATTATAGATAATATAGATATAAACATAGATATCATCTTAGTAACCAGAAGTGTGGTTTGTTGCTTGAGCCGCCATTTAATTTATCATTCTTAGTGGACAGTATTTGTTCCTTGTACCTATGTCAGATCTTGCAACATTATACTGTATATCAGGTACAATTTTTCAATTAGTTTCTTTACCGATACTAATTTACCTTTAACATTATACAGTATATTGGATTTGTGGTATAATCTCATTCTCAGTATCAGCACGCTAATTAGTAAAATTTGAAACATTAAGGTACCTTATGAGTTTCGAATAGAATATAATTCAGCAGTACCTTTTTGTGGGACTGACAGTGAGGCATAGGAGTTGCCATACGATCATAAATCGGCCTGCTGATTATGACAGTCTCTTTAAAAACCGTAAGTATAATATCTAAAAACCGATTATTGTAAAGTCACACACGCTTGCGGTGTCACATCTATTATTTTCTTGATTCCAAGAAGATGCACTTATAATCGTAGTGTAGTTTTGGTTTCAAATGGATCAAGAAACTAATACTTTTTGACGTGCTTGTTGTTGTACGTATTACATATTTCAGCTCTAAATTGGAAGATTATTAGTTAGCAGCCACATTTTAATCAAATTAGTGCATTTCTGATTAATTTAGTAGAATGAGTGAAGTTAAGTATACTTGGTTTAGTATATTGCAAGGACTACTCGTTTTTTCGGATAGTCCCTACATATAATTATACCTCAATTACAGTTTGTTAAAATGTTGATAAAACTTGCATGGGTATATTATTTAAGTATGCAACCAAACGAAATACAGAATTTTTAATTTTAAACTCTAAATACTTATTTTTGCTACCTCGATGTTCTTATCAAAGGAGGCCCAGCGGCTGATCATCATCACGTATATAGGATTGCAAAACTATGTTATCTGTACATATACAAACTTCGACTAGACAAAAATTTGCCGTAGCATCAGCTCGGTAATATTGAAAGTCTGAATGGTGGCTTAGCAATATAACAGGTCTCAAGATAAGTCTTTAGTTTCAAGAAATACGAATTGCAAGAGGCGAAAATTCTCTGTTAAATTTTAAATAAGATCAAGCGAATTTATTCGAATTAATATGATGGTAAGACAAAATAAATTCATGTCTTCTATACAATTTATGGATTAATATCAATATGCCGTATGAGTGAAGTAGCAACTTTTTGCTCTAATATATTTAGCGATTTGCAACCAATCTCAACTGGAAATTATTGGTGACCTAGAATTGTAGGATTAGAGTTAGTACAATTTATCAGTTGAGTGAGAGAATCAATCTACTGGTTCTTTTCTTCAATTTTAAATTCAAATTTCCATGCATCGATATCGAGTTATAGCGAGGTAATAACCTATAGCGGCTTACAATACTGTAAAATTTATCATTATTTTGGAAATAACATCAAATACAAGTTGTAGACTTTTCCATCTGACCCTAAATACCGCTACCAAATACATGCCGTAAAACTTGACTGCAATATTATAAACATCGAACGAGTAAAGTACCCGCTCATTGCGTGATAATCCATGAATGCGTGAAAAGATTTCAGGAAGCGCTAGCATATAAGCGTATTGCCGTCAGTGTTGATGTCCCGTATATAAATTATGTATGCACTTAAGGCATGAAATCTCATAGTTAAGTTCGAAAAACCTGCTCAAAGACTACACTTTTGAATTTCCGATTTGTAGTAATAATTGCTGAGGGCGCATGTCTTACTCTTGAGAATGCACCATAAGGCAATACATTAGTAAAGAATTGAGTTGATAATTCCAGGCCAATTTTATCGAGAGTTTGGCATTATAATTTGTTCGCTGTATTTGCGAATACTAATCGTACAGAAATTTTAATCTTGCGAACATGAAAGGCAATTCATTGTCAGAAGGCGTTATTTTGATTCGAGGTATCATGGCTATCTTTCCTTGATGTGCACCTTGAGTCATAATCCTACCCTAAATAGTATATCGATGTGTATAGGTGACTTGAATTCGCGTATCATTAAGGATACCATTTTTCTTGTCAATGTTTCTCAGCCATATAAATACGCACCTAGCTTTGAGCTTTAGGCTATGAGGAGGCATTCTTCCTACCGGTAAAAATGTGTTCAATTACTCGTTGGAATGACATCGTGCTGGCCTCTACCAGTTCGTCAACACTGATCTATTCGCGTACTTGTCCATTTGTTCGGTGAACGACTTGATTATTAATTTCGTTAACAATATCTTATGTTAGTGAAATAATAGCCCGCACTGCAAGTTAAGACGGGTTTATAGGATTTCCAAATACTTCAGCGATAATTTTGTGATGGTCTGCTACTACTTTAACAGAAGGAGGATGTGTAATTAATCCTTCATGTTCTTGTTCCACTCGCCCTTCGCAGACTTGTAACAAAACGTCTTGCCTATTTGGATGGCAACTCTGATCTTCCCGCATATTTTGTGACTGTAACACTTTTATTACTCTTCGTCAAAGGTAACTTCTATTTAAGCGCATTTGTACGACATGGGTGGAAGAAGCTTTTTTGAAAACTGGAATATCTCAGTTATTGACGTTAGAAAATTCAACATTCACGAATAAATTTAAAAGATTGATCTGCGTCGATGCGTTAAATACTGCATCGAAAGGAAACAATTCTACTTTTGGCACAACACTCTCTTTAGCTGCATACCCCTAAAGTAACGTTACAACGCATATAATATTTCTATGTAGTTCTTTAACTTTTAATCTTTAAGTAATTGAGTAAGTTAATGTTAGAAATTGACTATGTTTATTGCCACAATTTTAATCTTTCTTTGGGTGGACAGATTAAGAATTATGCGGCACTCATGACGGAAATTTTTGGTGTAATATCTAGAGGGCTATAAAATCTTTTTTTACTTCACTTATCATGAAGGGCCAAATAGAAATTTTCATTTAACGTTAGATTAGGGGTCCGATAAAATAGATTCATTCACTAGATTGATAAACTGTAGTTTAAACTCATTATCTTCTGCTTATTCACTTCTAGAATTTTGAGTTCCGGAAAGATCGTTTATATTTCGTAAAGTATGTCAGAGATTTCTCTTCTCGAATTTTGTTAACTTTGCGTGGTAAAACTTGTACACTTATAAATGAAGTTGTAGCCTAATCTAATAAAGTCTATGAATACCGTACGACTACTTCATTCTCAAGTTGCAAAGAATGAGCTAGGAACATTACAAAAGGTGATTATCAAATACAATTTAAAGTAAATTCTTTCCTTTGTATCTCAATACTGTACAATATGAGTTGTTGATAGATTTTGCCTTCATTTGCAATTTCGTATATCTATCCTATATTAAATTAAAACATGAAAGTTTTGCTTTGAAGGGTTAATGGCACAAGCCTCTTAATTATGTTCCATGTTTAGAAGTCGTCAAAGAAGTAATATCTTAAATTGTAATCTTCATTCGACGACTCTAGATCTGATGAGAATTAACTGAGTAAAAAAGTTTATTCCATGCCGCTAAGGTTTGCATTGTGCTGCTAACGAAAATTACGAAGGAAGGCTTTCAGAAACAGTCCAGAAAACGAAGTACTTTAACGCTAAATACTAGATTATCATAAATAACTTTATTATTAAAACTAATAAATTATTCACGAGTTTATGACATCGAGTATTATCATCAGATTTGCATCAATTTTAATTGATTTCCTGATTGTGTTCATATCCCATTGCATGGGATCACATATTTTAACTTTAAATGTGATACCTTTGTGGTGCGTATCTAGTGTGCTTAATAATATCGATCGCGTATTCGAATGATTGTTACTTATTATATATTATACCAGTACATCATTAGTTTGATACGGAAGGTTATTTATTCTTATCTATTCGTTCGTAATGATAAAATCCATCAAGAGAAAGTTTCATGATACTGTGTATTTTTTGCTAAACACTTATCGTTGGTTGGCTATCTGCGAGTTATCATTTATGAGTGTAAGTTGAAAACTACATTTCAGCTGATTTTTATTCAGATTACAAAAGAGATGAAAAGTTTACTTTGGCGTACGGATGATTAAATTTTTCATTCTAAATCAGTTGTTAATGAAGATTAAATCGCTTAAGTATTTAGGTGCGGCTTTTCATTACGAAATCCTCTTGTGCAAAAAGGCATAATTTGTGATTAGAAGATTAGTTCCTCATTTTAGAACGATTAAATGTGTATAGAAATCACAATAAGTATATAATATCAGCTGGTAATAGTCAAGTTAATAGCAATCAAAGATAATTCTATTATGTAACACTGGAATTTAGGATCCCTGGTAAAGTGATCTTCGTGTTAATCTAATAACGTCAATTAAATTTGAGACTAGCTACATACTTATGAATTGCAGAAACTTGTTATCCAGTAAATTTAAATTCTTACGACAACATTAAACATGATTCACTCCGTATCTACACTGCAATAGATGATACTCTGTATTTATGTCACTTTTAGGCTAAAAAATAATGGTTGGTATAGTTTCCAGCTGTAGTACTCGTGGCAGTAAATAACGAACGTGAATCTAAATTTTTCGTTATTGACCAGTGTAAAAATCCTAAATTCTTCAACCTTTCAAAGTTACGTGAATTTATTCTACCAGGTCTGCGAAGAAAACCAATAAAAATTTCATATTCTACTAAAAAATGAATACTGATGATGAATATCACGACTAATGAGTAGGCTTTCATTCTTGTCACATTTTACTGTAATAAGCGATGCCGTCACAGGTGAGTGAATAACCTGTACAAGTTGCATTTTCTCCTTGCGATGTATATAAATTTTACCACCATACAGATAAATTACAAAATTCTTGGTCAAAGTTTTTGCATATCTTGCATCCAAGGGAATATTTATGCTGCATTCTCTATATCCTATACTTCGAACTGATTGCTGGCTGTCATAAACCTAAATATAAAAGTAAGAGCACATTCAGGCTAATTCTTGCCTTATTAGTGTTGCGTAAAAAGTATTTACGGTCAATTTGATATTTGTTTACCACGAAGTCCTCCTTTATGCGCACATAAAAATAAACTGATTTCGGTAGACTTCGTAACTAGATCAAAATACGGAAAAGTAAAAAGTTGGTGTTATAACAGATATTTTATATGGCGGCTGCAGTATTTATAAAGCCTCAAATGAATGCGATAAAAGTAATTAGAAACCCATCTTCTTATGGTGCTCATATATCAGTGAACACTTCCGTTAGATCTAACATGATAATAATTTTCAATTGCAAAGATTACCCGATTTTTCCTTACCCATCCAATATATTTTTGTTCAAAATAATTTTTCAGGTGTTCTGAATCATCAATATCGATGAAGTTAGAGGGACTAACGCAATGAGATGTTACTGACAGATAACAAAGGTACGTAGTCGCTTTGTTACATGTCGTTAAATTGGTTTGTTTAACCATAATTTTGTCTGATTCAAATTCATAGACCTAGTTATTGAAAAGATATAAACTATTTAAGAATTAATTCAGTACGGTAAATAAACAGTGTTCGTCCATTAAGAAAGTATAAGAACACAAAAAATTCCGACTACTGCGGTTTTGAGCACGTTTTGAGAATTGCTTGTCGCCAATTAGATCATGAATACTACTGTCCCAATGGCTTTGAGTTATTTCCTAGCATACGGTAGTAAGATTTATGGAAATACTAATATTCAATACTTCTTTTTTAACAGGTTGAAAGCAGTATTTCATTGTTTGCTTCGTCATTTGTCGTTTTAAGTGAGTATAAATTTTAAGTTATTGATTAATACTTAGATCATACTTCATTATTTTATAGCTTCGTATAATAAGGACTGATACCTTCCTCAAAAGAAGCTAAAATACATTGATAGAATCCGCAAATTCTCCAAAATCTTCTAGAAAGATTATGCTTATAAAGTAATTTTAAATTCATTGTATGATTTAATACCTTGATATAGTGCATTTTACTTGATGTTCGGCAATATATTACAAAACTAAATTCATCATGATAGACGAACGTAGAGTAATAAGAATCATCCTCGAGTGTGGCTAATATATCTCCAGTTTCGTAAGCAAGCACATTAAATTTTAGTACCTATGGCAGAAGAGTAATAAGTTTACGTAATGGTTTTAGCTTGTTGCCAAGACGTCCAAATATAGCAATGAATAGATTAACTGATACAGCATTTAGGCAATATAGCATTTCAATTTCGGCTGCTAACCGTTTCTGATAACCAGAGAATGCATATGAGGATGTTATCACATCTTCTGTATTCAAATTTGCATTTAAATTTTTCTCTATTAACATTTAGGACTTCATAGTTTATCCAGACGTTTTCATTAATATTGTCAAAGTCTTTTCTCTGCATCAGAAAAATTTTAATTTAAGGCTTTAAATCGTTATATTTAAGCTACTGCTTCTTAAATTAGAGTCTAATACTGCTATTCATAATGATGTATTGAAAATAATTTGCTCTGGTGATATAAATTTCTATCTGGAATAAATTAGCAGGAGTCGTGATAACCCAGAAGGTTTCTGACGAGCTTTTGGCCTCCATTCCATCAAAGATTACTCTCTAATATTTAGGAAATGGGCTTTCTTTACTCACCATTGTAACGATATGACTATGATTCAGACTGTCTTTATAAAGATGGCAGTTCTTATTACAATAAGAAATCTCCACAATAATCAGACTCTTGAGATCTTCTATTAGAAATATTTTGTACATAGATTTAGAAGGTGCCATTTTAGCATTGGGAGAAATGTTACAGCATGACAGCTTTTCAGATTCAAGGCCCCTGTTTACCTACAGGTAGAACCTGGACATTAATACAACATAAGCAATGCTCAGTTATTCGGGAAATAACAGTTTCTATTTTAGTAAAATTTACCTCTAAGAAAACTGTGCCTTGATCTTTCAATCCTATTCTTGCAACTATTGGCATTCCTCCTATACAGGTTGACTCTGAAGCTACGATAACGGTATCATCTATAGGATCTTGAGAATTATAGTTCTGAACTCCATATTGATATATGGCCAGATTACTGGAATTATATACCCAAAGGTCTAGCATTCCTGGCATGAATGTTATTGAAACACTATTCTTTAAGCATTTTATCATGGTAGATGTGAATACTTGCTTATTTTCGTAGCGAAGAATCTACCAAAAAAAGACATCAAATATAAATAGCTTACATTGCTAGCGTTTCAGTAATCTATTACCTACTTACAAGAATTTTGCAAAACGATAGTGCGTCTGTCAAAATAGCAATATATGGACTATTATTTGAAATTGCAAAATCGATGATATATTCATTTTGATGAATAAAGAAGAAAGAGCTACAAAAGGATTCCGCAATATTTGCTTTTCCGATTTCAATTTCTTTACTTGGTATCATGCCGAGCGCATAGTTATAATTCAAAAGTAACAAATCTTCAATAAAATATTTTACACCTTTTAAGCATGAGATTTGTATCTGAACAAAGGTATCATCTATCATATTTGAAATTGAATACGGGACTCTCATTATCCATCGTTCCCTTAGAGATTTGACATCCCATATCTGAATTAGAAAGAACGTTTGTTATTACGTCGTTACTAAGCTCTAACGAGCGAAGGTTTAACGAGGTCTTGTAGTCACATTACAATTTATAGTAATTCGATATTTTGTGGCATCACTATCATCGCTTAATAATCTTGTGGCGCATATATTTACCATAATTTCACACTCTTGCAGATCACTGTCTCCGTGATTAAAGTTCTTATGCCAAGATAATATGTTTGATCCATTTTCAACAAAATCAAATCCTTCAGTCTGAAAATTTTGCTCCCTAGATTCACATACTTGTCTCAGTGTCATTTCTTGAACTTTCCAACACTACGTCAAATGGATTAGATTTGGTAAGTTGAAGATGACAAAACGTTGTCGATAAAAGATAATTAAAGGCATAATCTTGTAGTCAATAAACATCAAGCCCAGAACCTTACTTTAAACTTTTTCTTATTTGATGTTAAGGTAATTACAATAGACTCATCCATACTAGAAAAGCTCATGCATTCAGAATCCAGCTCCGATACGAATTCTCCTCGTTGGTTTCGGATATTCATCTTTTTCCCTTCATTCAAATCCCATACTTCCCAGAATTCACTAATATCTGTTTGATTTCGCTATTAATAGTCATAAAATAAACTTATATTAAAATGCATTATCATTCATGTGCACTATACCATGCGTAAAAACTATTTTTTGGTTCCATTAGCGCTTAAGAATGATCGGTAACTAATATTTTACTAATTTAAGATAAGTTAATTGATATGCATGATATAATTCAGCTGAAAGTTGATGGAAAATCGCTTGTTGCGGCTCATTTTGAATTTTACGCAAAAAAATTTGTTTTTAATAGCATTCCTTACCGATGCATTTACATAACGATATGCCATTAATTTACCAGTTGCAGAAAGTATTGCATTCGTAATATGTCTTTTTTCGACGCGGATATTAATTTGAGTCATTGATGATATGTAATTCCTTACCTAGTGTGGAAGAGTCAACGTTGGATAGAAATTAAAATGATTTAAATTATTATATTTAAAAATGAATGATAAGTATTTTAAACATTTTTGTACTGATTTAATCTGTCCCTGTTAATTTGCTAAGTAAACATAAACTTATGCGTACACTTATGGTGGAGACATCATGGCCATTATTGAAAGTACAAATTACATCTAAGTTTTCCAAACAAGTGCATGCAAATCTACGATGAACATCACTGAAGCTGGTGCCAACACTTATTGATGCTTGCCAATCGTCTAATACCTTCATTTCCGTTACCCTTAAATAATAGATATTGTTGGTTCTGCGATAATTATACAATTTCAGATTATGCTCATTATCAAGACTGGCTTTCTTACCAAGGTATGACATGAAAACTATGACCATATTTTCTGCGTTCCCGTGCCTCTATAATTGCATTTTCGTATAGCGCATAATCCGAATTTGAGAAATTCAGTACGAATTGAGTGAAATCGCTATTATTTTTTAACAAAAAACAACTATGTAGCAGCAAGATTTGAGACAGATGGTTCATTTCTTGATCCTATAAGAAGAGGAAATCACCGTCGAATCATTCTTACTCTTCGTATAACAGAAACAGTACCAAAACGTATTTTATATTTACTTTATCATCAAAATATTTGCTGAACTTATTTGCATCATCAGAGAGCCTTTTGGTAGGAATACCGTATTTCAGTTTTTGATCGAGAAATCGAACGTCAGTTGCAATCTTCTTAATGATATCTTGGTTTCCACTTGCAATAGCATGGTCTGTGATGAAGTTCCAAAAGTACTGATCACCTTTAAAAATATCCCAGTTGTTGGCATGTTTTATGTACGTTTGCAATACAAAATCTTCATGTAGTCCATGTTTCTCCCATTCATTATCTAAGAGATTCTTTAAGTGATCAACCATTAAGTCGTGCAAGATGGCATGATCCCTTTTATGTAATATAGAAAAGTAAGGACTTCAAAAACACGTACGTAAATAAATATATTGTATGCAAAGATAATTCATACGATATTCTGAATAATTTGCTTCAAGTTAAAATTACGTTCGGTATTCCGGATCTTCTTTGTAATTCCTGGACGTCAGCAAAGATCTACAATGAAATTGTTGCAATTTCATTCTGACAGTACTCAAAGGTAGCTTCCAGAGACTGCCAATCAAATTTACGGATATTTTCGACTTTCTGAAAATTCCAAGCATAATAAATAATTTTTGGTCATCCGGTTGTAACTTTTCTATACTTGCATTGAAATTTTTGTGTAACGTAGAGAAATAGCTATCGTCATTCTTGATTTGAAGATTCTTTTGCAAATCAATGAGATATTCCAGCCATTCTGCTTCGGTAGTTAACTTTTGGGCTGCGATTAAGGATATCATTAATGGTAGGCCTTGACATCTCTCGATAATTTCTGAAATATATCGATTTTTCGTGAAATCCTCTATTGGTCGAGATGGTTGATTCAAACGAAAGACTTCAAATGCCTCGCTTTTAGTTAATTTTGTCTTAAATAACAAAAGAGAATACTGGTTAATCAGTTCATAAATAAAGCGATTCTCTATTATATTAACACCTTAATTAAGAATCTTGAAAGAATCTGTAGACAAATATTTTAGTGTGTTTACATTAGCTTCAATGACAATTTGATCTGTTTTCAGCATTGCTCTAGTTTTATTTCGTGATATTATGATAGCTTTCCGATAAAAATCCAAGTATGACATGTAGCTGTCGTCCCATAGATCGTCGAAAATGAATAAAATTTCTGGTCCACTGCTATTTTCTGTTAAATAAAGAGATTGTAAATTTAAGCATCATGCAGTATGATGCAAAGACTATTAAACTCCTTGCACTACATCGATTCTCAGAATTAGATCAAAACATATTTCGAATGACAACTTGCACTTGCTAATCATTTCTACCGCGAATATGTTTCCTAATGAGACATCCCAGTACGTTTAAATCATTACAGTCAGAATCTGCGAAAGAAATTCCCAAAGAATATGCCAAAAGTTTTAACTTTGTCAAAAGTTCATCATCGCTACTATCACCTGCATAGGCAAAAAAAGAGTTTATCATTAGTGCATACTATTACCTTTTCATTCTGATAGGATTTTAGACATAGCTGAAATCTTCGTAGACAAATTGAGGTTATAACTTGATAAAATCAATAATATTTGAATAAATTTCACCTAAAGTTATCCAATAAGCGGAAAGGCGTGACTTATATTTAGGCATTTTTGCTACTTGTTGAACTGCTTGGCTTACGGCAACAGTTTTTCCGCCACCTCCTATCCCATATATCAGAATACTTCTTTTGCTGCTATTTTGAATTTCTACTATTTTGGAAACGATTTCTCCTACAAATTCTTTCCTTGTAATATACATTTCTGCTGGCGTATCTGGAATTCCTAAAGAAACATTTGCTATATGAAGTTATCTCATAATTTCCAATATCATAATTATCACGTCCGCCTTCAGTTAAGCGAATTTGCTATTTTGCTACTGATACTAATTTATTTTCGAATTGAGGATAAGTAAGTCTTAGCTAAATGATAAATTTGTGATTTAAACAATTAATTTAAGCTGTATTCTGCCAAGAAGAAGCGCAGAATAACTTACATAAAATACTATATAAAATCTTAATTATTTAAAATAGTCCTATCAAATATTAAAATGTATCATATAAACAAATCATTTTCATTATCGTAAGGACTGATTAATGCTATTATTGTTTCCAAATGTAAGACGGCTAGCTGTATGGTTTCCTATTCTAAATTTTGAAAATATCGAATTAGATCGTCATTATTTTAAACGCCTACTCGTTTTTTGCCAACAACAGTTCTTACAAGCACAGCATACCAAAGAATTTCTGGGATACTCTTACTTTAACAATTCGACTGGAATTATGCTTTATATTACAATACTTTTAGATCTTAAATAGTTTCTAATACAGTAACAAAAGATGAATATCCTTGTCTGGTGAGTTTACTTGTGATTTGTGCTCTGAAAAAGATGTCTATAGTACGGTATTTCAATGTTTTGCGTAGAAGTATTAAATTAGGTTGATCATAATGGGATATTTACTGTTAATACGATTAGTATACTACAGTAAATTACCATTTCAAGTACTTTGCAATCAGTACATTATAATTTTACAAAAATCCGTCTTTATTCTGTTAATTCACATGGCAGCAAGCAAACGATCAGAAAAATTATATGAATATTCCAGCCAAAGTTCCAAATTTTATAAATAGACATAGTAGGTAGATGTTGAAATTAAGCTCAAACAATTGTCTCATTCATTTTACTCTTTTGGTTTCTTAAAACTTTTTTACGTCTAGGGACTTATTATTAGATAGGGTAACTTGAAAAATTTACAATTTGTAGTTATTTGAGGAAATTTGACTACTGCATCAAATTTCACTTCAGCATTGAATTCGTTTGCAAAGCCGATATGCTATATCACCGAAGCTATAAATCTTAAAAGTCAAAATGTTTATCTATTCGCAAATTCAACTTTAAATCAAAACAGCCCGCCAAATATATAGTTATTTAATGACAATTTCGAGGTTAAGTAACTGGATAAAGTCAAACTTGATCCAAATAATTGCTTTACGTCAACATTCAAGGTTAATGACTTGATTAAATAAATGTTTGTTAAGTTACTTTGTGGAAACTGATGTAATCTAATTCATGTATTGGTGATCATTTCAAATTATTGTACGTAAAATGTATGACAGAGAAAAAGTGGCCGCGTATTCTGTTTAATGCTTTTACTGCATAAGCTGTATTGCAGGGAACTATTTTATGAACTTTTGAGCTAGATAGGATACTTAATAGAGACTAGATTAAACATGTCGTTTCACTAACGTAGATACTATAGTAAACAGTTACTAGGCAGCTAAATAATTTAAAACTGCAATAACACGGGAAGTTCAACGAAGCGGTCCTTAATTGTGATGTATATCCGCGCAGTCATTATTTATCACTACTGAACTTTTATTGCTTCTGCAATACAATGTTCGAGAAGTTTATACTCGTGAATTGAAAGCTTACTGTATTGCTGTTATACTATCAAAATCACAGCTGGTTGAAATTATAGAGTTCTAAGTGATTCTATATTGACATATAGCTTCTCACCTAAATTTCACTGTAATATCATAAAAATTTTTAATTTAGCTGTCCTAGATCATAGGCCACTAGATGCACCGTATTTTTCTTCTTACCTATAAGATCGTAATCGGAATTGAAATTGTTTTCCTGGTGACGAAAGTTACATAAATCCCCTTTATCAGGAATTTCTGTTCCTATTTTTGAACTAAAGGTTTCTTTAAATTCGCTAAAATCAGACTGGAGTTTATCTATATTGGTTATGGCTTTATTTAAGAGCCCTATTGCTTTACCAATCTCACTAAAAATTCCATTTTGCAATTTATTTACTATTTTCTCAACGCCTTCCTTTGTAATCATTTGATCTAAAATCTTCATGACGTCATCTATTTCTTTATGTAAATCTTCCTTATTCGGTAAACTTTGTACTTTGATCTTCAGATCTGACAGAATCTGAGCGGTAAATTGTTCATCTTCATTCGTAAGAGTTTTCTTTAAAGCCGATATAGCATATTCTCTGAGAGACTCAAAATTATGCAATGAAGACAAAGGGCTTAAGTATTTGTAATTCTTCCAATCACTGGTATCAAATTGCACTACGATCCAGCCCCTATCAGTGAACGTCTTATCTGAAGGAAGTTTACCGTCGTCAGTGATTTTTAGCTCAAAATCCTTATAAATATGGTAATCGAAGATAATTGAGGGTCTGCGATAACCCCATTGTTTAATGTACTTAATTTGGCTAGGAGCATATGAACCTTTACCTTTTTCGCCTACTCCTCCAAATACAAGGCCTAGCTGTGTAAGCAAGTCGCCACAGGCGATCTTTAGGTCTCTATTTTTAGCAAACAACTTTTCAGACGAATTCTTTGAAAAGCCATAGTATACTCCAGATACACAATTGCCGTACAAGTCCACTAACTGATTGTAACTATTACTTTTATTATCCATTATTCTAATTACGGAGTTATCACTTAGTGAGTTTGACTTAGCCATGTGATTTAGAACACGTTTTGCCGCCGCCTTCGCTAGTTTTCTTATATTAAGGTATAGGCAACCTGTATCCTGGGCTGCTGACAGTATCTGGTGTTCATACATTCTACAAATATCACAAGCCAGCAAAGCCACAAAGAGTGTAGATGAACTGTCGTCAGGGGGAAGAATAGAAATGATCTTACTAGCCTTCTCTTTATTAAGTTTTTTTTTTAATTTTCTGGCAGCAAATGTTGTTATTGTTAAGCCTAAATTTATAGGAACTGAAATTTCTGATCCAAGCAAAGAAGTCAGCGGTTTAGCGAAATCGGAAATGAATTGTTGATATTGCTCAAAATTTCTCCCAATTTCAGCTTCTATGTCTCCAGTAGATATACGATCATACAAAATCAGTTTTTGAATAAACTCCAAAATAAAAGACGAAATAAATAAGTGTATTTGCTTTATACTTTGATCTTTAGTATGTTGCGTGACGTTACGGCGTACGGTGGTACTGTGCTTTCTTAGTTTCAAGCGCTTGAACATTTTCGATGTTATTAATCACTGTAATGCTAGTACGAATAAATCGCCAACGCTAGAAGTCTTTCTGGCTACCGTAGATTTGCGATTTGAACCTTGAAGTTTTAAATAAATTTCTTGGATATTATTGAATATGAGATCTAACTGAAAGTGACTTCGAATAGGGATTGAAAAAAATTGTCTACTTAGGATTTTCCTTCCAACGATGACACCATGTCACTAGCGAAGAAAATTTGCAACTTCCAGTTGGTGGCCTACGAACAATGCTATAGTTAATTATCATTAGTTATCAAACTCCAAAATATCCGATTTCCGTCCCCTATATCGTAAAATCGGAATGTCAACTACTTTGACAGATGATTTTATACTCTTGATACGTAGTTGCGCGTTGATTTCGTCAATTGTGTATTTAACTTTGTCAACTCCCATTGCTGGTATACTTGCATAGTGAAGTGTTTAGTTAAATTTTGGTGAACATCAATCTTAAGGCATCATGCTGTGCTTGTGTAAACCGAGTTATCCTTATTCTGTATTGCAATGGTATTCCAGATTAAATAACTGACATGCCAACACATCACCGCAATCAAATAAAGGCTATAATACTACCTGTTTACCGAGCAGTTGTTAGGGTATTGAGTCATCAAATCTCATTTAATTATAAGATAAACGCTCAATCGATTTGGTATAAATACCTAGCGCATTAAAAAGTTATTATTAAAGAAATATTAGCAATAATTTGATTTTATGTTGTAATTGGTGCTTAATTTCACTAACCTTTATAATCATGCACTACTTCAATGCTAATTCCATGATATAATAAGAATGCTTACGACGATTAAATTATGTCAAGAAATATTTTCTAAAGGGATCTTTAACGTTAGATTTTATCAACGCTGCATTAGAACTGAAGTGATTTTTTAAAGGTAAAATGAGCACAATTAAAAATTACATTATTTAGCTATTGAAGCAAGCAACAGCCTAGCATGATATTGTTACTTACCACTCGGCTTCTTACTGTACATTTAATATTTTACCTTACTGTAATAAAGATTTAATATAGGTAACACATCATGACTAGTTTCATCGTAGATATTGCTAGCTGCTATGTTTATAGATACCTAGTAATAACTTCCTGGCGTTGCCCGGCCCCCCCCAAAAAAAAAAGAATTCATGAAAGTTACGTTACGATATCATCATGTCGCTTACTCTTTCCTTTACCATCATTAGGCTATTACTCTGCGCAAGCACAATGATAGCATACACTATAAATTTAGAGGTTTTCATATACTTTCGTACATTACTACAAATTCCTTATTTATAGGATTAACTTCAATTTTAAAAATTTACGATCTGAATTATGATAGTTTACATTTGAAATCCAACGCCATACCATACCAGCCTGCGCATCATTCTCAAAAGATCGATATACAGTAAAACTGTATCAAACGTACAATTCGAATTACTAACGATATTATTATTATTATTATATATTATTAGCAGCTCCATATTGTTAAGGCTAAGCAGCGTTCTAGTATGGTGTACTATAACGCTAATTTAATTCTAAATTCGTTTATGTTAGTATAATTATGCCTATGGACTGATAATGGCGTATCTTTTAAATCATTCTAACGTATAGCCTATGCAGTATTGACAGTTAAGAAGGCTTTCTTGAAAACTACAGCAGTCCATGTTTTTAAATTTGAATATTTACTGATTATTGTATCAGGAGGTAAGTACTAATACCAATACTATTCGGTAGATATTCATCTGAATCAACTAATTTTTATACTCGATAATAATTATATTTAAGTGCGGCAATAGTTTTCATCTACGATTAAGTTTATGTCCATTTTTAGTTCGAAAACACCTTGGCCGGTATCGCTTTAAATCGATTAAAAATTGGTATATATAAGCGTGCAATATTACTGTATAAATGGTTTGAGTAAATTTTAAACTTTAGAGAAACTTACAGTAGCATAATAAACCGCCATAGCACCATTTGTACAATAACTTACTGGTATACTCGTAAGTCATATGACATTAATGTTTTACAGAATCTTGTCGTAAGGTTTGCGGAAGAGATTGTATAATCTATACATATGTCGTCATAAAAATCTTCAAGACTCAGATAGTGTGCTGCAATCTGTACATAAGCATCCGCTGCTTTAAAAAGAATTTTATTTTTAATTTTCTTGTGGGAATATTTTACTGTAATAATACAGATATATGATATATGTATTAATATACTTTGCGTGAATTCCTTTTATTTCATAATTAATGAATTCGCATTTTCAGTAATTCTATGGCCTTATTTCGAAAATGAAATATCGCTAAATGTTTAGAATCAAGTTGTTTGTCAAACTAGCGGATCAGCTGATAAAACTTAAATAAATACAATTTAACCCTATACCGTATATACGCTATCGTAGTAGAAATGTCGGAATCTTGCGCTGCGATGCCATTTACTTGGGAGGAATTTTACCACATTAATGTATCTTCGCAGGTGGTCTAAGCTAGCAGCGTCTTTTTATCAATGCGCAGAGTGCTAAAGCCAGACGCCCAAACTAAGGGCATCCTACCTGCTAGCTAATGACTGAATAACTATACTTTTAAATGTCCCTATTGATAGGATATTTTCTAAAATGTTATTCTATATCAAGCGGATAATT